TCCGACGATTCCGATGCGCGCCATTTTCGCGAAGGATTGTTTTCGGGGGGCAAGAGAAGAAAAAGCGGGACGTCACCGAACGGAAACGTTTTCAGGTTGCGAGCGGCACCAGTGGCGCACAAATTTTCCTTCCCGGAGCGGGTTGACCGCAAGCGTCCAAAGTCGGACTCGTCGGAGCAACAATTGTTGGTCCTCGCCGACAACTCCCACATCGACATGACCCGCCTGCGAAGGCTCCCCTCGCCCTCATCCCCGCTGTTCAACAGGCTTTCTGACCTGACGCCCCAGAACCCGATAGCCGACGAGGTGATGTCTCACACGATACGCGGAAACCGCCGTTTCTCTCTTCCCCGCTCCTTACATCCCCCAACGCACCATGGTCGCGAACACTCATCCATCAGAGGATGGCGGACGTCACAACTTGGCATTGAACCTCTTTACAAACGCGACCGCTGGGTCGCAATACCCTCGCTCGACCAGCTCCCGCAGCTTCCCCACTGCATACCCCTCCAGCTCGCCCGCACTGTCCGCCGTCAACTCCCGCAGCCCCGAGTGGAAACGGTACACGCTCTGGAGAGACAGCTTGAGCGCGGGCGGCGCCGAGGCGCTCCCCACCGCGAACACGAGGATCGGGTCGTAGTTAACATCCCACTCCCCAATGGAGTACTGCGCGAGTGTGAATTCGCTGCCTTCGCGTGCGAGGACGAGGGGGAGGGAGAAGCCGGCGCTCTCTGGGGCGGTTGGGGAAGGGGGAAGGGGGCAGAGGGTTCAGGTGTTCAGAAAGCGTAGCCGCTTGTGAGGTGGGACCGGTGCAGGAAGAAGGGGTCAGTGCACACCTCGAGGGGATATCTCCACCGTCCACAGCTTTCCGCTGTGACCTGCGTCGGTGAACTCTTGAACGAGACCATGGGCTGTAAGAATCCTGGTGACCAAAGCCTCCATCCCTTTGCTGCTGTCGAAGGTTCAACCCGGATGATGCGAAACGGAAGGCGGAGGAGATCGTCGAGGCAAATTTGACTCAGCATCGACAATCGAAATCACAAATGCCTCGACGTCGCCAGCATCTCATTTGCCTTAGCAACCAACATTCGAGATCAGATATCGCCCGAAATGCCCCCAAAGAAGACGAACTCAAAGTACGGCTTTTCCCAAATCCCTGCTTTCCTTCTTGGTCCTTCAGCACGAGCCGGCGTCCGGAACCGCAGTTTGACCTCTCGCATTTCTGCACTCCTCCCATTTCTGCCAGGGTTGAGGCTGCCAACGCCAAGAAGGCCGCCGTGGAGGCCGAGAAAAAAGGAAAGGCTACCGCTGCCAGAGAAGCGCAAGAAGGTTTGCTGTTTGCATATTTTCTCCCTATGGGGCAGTCGGAAAGCATGGCGGTGTTGGTGGGGCAGGGGTCTTCCTGCTGTTGGGGGTCAGCGAGGGGTCAAAGCTGTTTAGTCGTGTGTCTTAGCTCACCTTTTCTTGCATGTTTCAACAAATAGCGGCAACTTGGTCGGTGGGCGGGAAGGACAGCAAGAAGAAGGAGGAGGAGGAGCGGAAAAAGGTTCGGTTAGAGGTGCCAGCGGGCAGGGAAATTGGGCCGGAGGGTAGGGAGGCGTGACGTGAAGATTTGAATGGGGTGTGGTGCCGTGAGCTTGGCGTGATCGGGAGGTATCTAACATGAAGTAATGCCTATCCCTCCTCGATGCAGCAAGAGGCAGCTGCGAAGAAGGCTGAAAGGTAAATGCGCATAGGCGACTTATTCCTTAGTCTTGACCGTTCGGTACAGTTGCACGCTCACTTACATCTGCACCTAAAATTGCCCGTCTGTCCTACAGAGAAGCTCTCCTTGCCGCCGAAGAAAAGGAGTTGGCATCGATGAAGCCTACCGCGGTGGCGGGCAAGGGCGCAAAGAAGGCTGCTCAGCGGTCCGAGAAGGTGGAGCAGTTCCAACGCGACGCCGGGAGCGCACTCATGGAGTTCTCGGCCTCTGGCATCGACGCTGCGCTCGATATGATGGACATTGTCGACAAGGGGACCACCGCCCAGGCGTCTGACAAGATCGAGCGACACCCGGAAAAGAGGCAGAAGAGCGCTTGGGCCGCCTTTGAGGTAAGTTCGAGCGAGGGCGTCGGTAGTGATTAGGTAGAAGGGTACCGAATATGAAGCAGGCGGCCTATCTCGCGTCTGGAGCGCTTCAATCCTTCTGACCAAATCCATTCGTGCCAGGAACGGGAAATGGCCATTGCGAAGGCGGAGAGCCCTGGTCTCCGTCTTTCTCAGTATAAGGCGCTTTTGCAGAAGAAATGGAAGAAGAGTCCCGAGAACCCCATGGTAAGATTGCATGATTCCCGTGTCCCTCTGACACTTTCGATTCTCAGGGCGAGAAACGCCATTTACACTTTCTCTTCGTCTCTGCCCTTGCCCTATCCAGAACCAGGAGCAGGTTGCGTACAACACCAGCCGATCGGAGGAGCGGGAGATGATCCAGGAAAAGAGGGAGGAGCGCGAGGATACCTTCCGCGTGAAATAGAGGATGTGAACGAACGCCCCGTCCCCGAGTGCTCGGGTAACGAGTGTTTCGACCTACTTGCTGGCCTCCCCTCGAGCCTTGTGAACATAAGCGTGAAATAGAAGCAAGACCACACCCATTTAGTCTGTGTGCCCCCCGTTTCTGTCGTTATTTTTTCTCTAGTCGTCCGGGGCTGGTGAGCGCACCTCCTTGGACCCCTCCAAACCCCACCCCCTCCCCTCCCTCCGGGCCTCTCCTTGGCCTTTTTTCCGTCTTCGACTCGCTGAGTGGCCGTAAGCCGAATGCCGTTTTTGATTGGAGTTTTTCCGCAAGTGTCCGGAGAAACTTTCGGACTTAATAGACACCTTGGCCACGCTGCCGCACCTTATTCCGTTCCGAGATCACACCCGGTCGGAAACCTCCAACCCACCGCAAAAATGTCCGTCGTCCGCCGCATCAACCTTGCCTCAATCTACGAGCCCGCGCTCGAGTCCGGTCTCCTCCCGGACGCGGTACTCCGCACCGGCATCCGCTACCTCCTCTCTCGCCGTGTCGCCCAATGCCAGGCCGCCGGCGGCGGAGCTTACGTCTCCAACTACGTCAAAACCCTCCGCCACAGAGAGACGATCGCCGAGTGCACGAAGGAGGCGAACGAGCAGCATTATGAGGTCCGAATAGGGAGAGATGCTGAACGTAGTTTGGGATTTTTGGTCGAATACAACCGCTTATCCCTTCCACTTTTGCTCCTCCTCGTATTCCCCGACACCAGGTGCCCACCGAGTTCTTTCAGCTTTGCTTGGGGAAGAGGATGAAGTACAGCTCTTGCCTGTACGAGAACGGTATGTGACTTTTTTTTTCGCGCCGCCCGCGGGCCCTTGGTGTTCGTTTCATCTGACGCGCTGGTTGATCGATTCGAATAGGCGCGAAAACCCTGGAAGAAGCGGAGGACGCCATGCTTGACCTTTACGTGCAGCGGGCGGAGATCGAGGACGGCATGTCGATTCTCGACCTGGGATGCGGATGGGGCTCGCTGAGCTTGTATCTTGCCGAGGTGCGTAGTGGAGGACGAGGAGGAAGGGAGTATGGGACGGTAGGAGGAGGAGACGAGAGGAGGATCGCGTAGATGTCTTATCATGCACTTAAGGATGGATATTGGCGTATGTTTTTGCGCCTTCAGCTACCCTGACTAACCTTCCGCATCGGTCCTCTCCAGCGTTTCCCGAATTCAAAAATCACTGGTCTGTCTAACTCGCATGGTCAGCGCGAACACATCCTGCGAACAGCTAAAGAACGCGGCTTCAGCAACGTCGAGGTCCTCACCGGAGACATCAACGAGTTCAAGATGGAGCGAACGTAAGTGTGTGGTAATTGCGGGGTGTGGGGAGCGTCGGGCCGCCTCGCGCGTTTCCCCCCCCCCCCCCCCTCCCCCCTTTTTTTGCTTTTCATCGGACTTACGTCGAAGCGATCGCCCACAATCCACAGCTTTGACCGCATCATTTCCATCGAGATGCTCGAGCACATGAAGAACTACGCAAGCCTGCTCTCGAAGGTCTCGAAGTGGCTTGTTCCCTCCACCGGTCGCCTGTTCGTTCACGTGTTTGCGCACAAGAACGTCCCATACGACTTCAAGTAAGGTTTCTAGCCGGTTATGGCCGTGCGGGGAGAGCTGAGAGATGAGATGGACGGAAATCCCAACCATGTAGTGCACCGAGTGTTGACTCTATTTGCTGATTCGCACCTGTCCTCTCACTTACAGGACGGAAGACGACAACTCGTGGATGGCGAAATACTTCTTTACCGGAGGAACCATGCCTAGCGAGGAGTTGCTGCTTTGGTTCCAGGATGACCTGGTCGTCAAGGACCGATGGACCGTGAACGGGAAGAACTACGGTACGTCGACATCCTGCCCAATGATCAATCTCATGCATTTCCAGCCAACTGACCACCTCTAATCTCCCCCACTTTGCAGGCCAAACCAGCGAGGAATGGCTCAAACGCATGGACGCCAACAAGGCGCAGATCATGCCCATCTTCACGAAAGCCTACGGTGGCGCCCGCGAGGCAAACATCTGGTTCCAGCGGTGGCGCGTCTTTTACCTCTCCGTCGCCGAATTGTTCAACTACAACGATGGGCAGGAATGGGTTGTCTCGCATATGTTGTTCAGCCGGCGATGATCGTCCGTGGGTTGAGGAGGGGTGGGTGGGGCACTGGACACAGACGGGTTGTATTTGGCACTATGGCCTCGCATGCCTTGTATAGGTGTAATAACTATCATCGTTGGACCGATTATGTTTGCAGTGTAGAGTATGAATATGTGCGTTTTGCCATATCTTTGTCAGGAGTTGGCTGTGTCCCGCACAGAAAATGGAAGAACCCGGAATCAGCTGGACCAAAAGAAACCAGGAAGAAGCCCGAGCAGGTCTTGAAAAGTCGGAGGGTGGTTCAAAAATAAAAAGATGAAAACCAGGTGGTGCGCAAAAGGAAATTCGATGCTGAACTGTGGCGGGGCCCAACCGGGAATTGAACCCGGGACCTCCTGCACCCGAAGCAGGAATCATGCGACTAGACCATTGGGCCAACAATATCATCTTCAAGTTTCTTAAATTTTGTTGAACATTTCTGGTCTTCACCATTTTCCTCTTTCCTGGCCAGTGCCCACCACCTGATATTTCACATCAAGTCAACATGCCAGGCGGGTTGATCTTGGGCTCAGGAACACTGGCACTTCAGTTTGTCGCCACCGCTTGTGGGGCGCGAAAGAACGACAAACAGCCACTAAAAAGCACAAAAACTCAAACCAATCACCAGGCAGCAAGATGAGCCGCGATCTGCCAATGTCACTCTGTGTGTTATATATTTGACCAAGCGATCGAGGGTTGCGGGAGCCCCCCATGGAGTGAGAGGACGACCGCAAAAGAAATGGAATGATATCATGAAACCGGGCCAGCCATCCGGCGCTAAGTGGGATTACGAGTCGACACCCCGGTCATTACCGGTGTGCGCGTCCTACGCCATGCTGCGCCGCATTTCCTACCTCCACCAAAAATGAGATCTTCGAATGCGGGCTTATGGGTGTTTTGGTGAAATTGAGGGAAGAATATTTGGCATTAGACGTTTGTTTGACTCACCAGCATTATTGACTTTCCAGCCCTTTCGTCACCCTTTCGCGACTTTGTTCAACCCGCCTTTTCCGCTTGACTGGGGGGACCCACTGCTGGAGTTTGGCAAACTTGACCTTCCTCCCGGCGAAGGTCGGGCAGGGCCGAGAGCGTCCTTGGTGGTTGTCCTGCGCATCGGCGGTGCCAGCGAGCAGGTGACTGCCGGCCTGTGCTCTGAACAATGTGCTGGGCGCTTTTGATGAACTGCATCAAGGAGCATCCCGCGAGAGTGCAGGACCAACCCCTTTCTCGTGTGGTAAGTCCGCGTGCCGTGCCTAAATAGCTGCTGTTTCGTCTCAATCGTGAGCTGTCCTGGGTCACACCGAGAGCCGAAAAGAAGAGAAACTTACTGTTTCGTCTCAATCGTGAGCTGTCCTGGGTCACATCGAGAGCCGAAAGGAAGGAAACAAAAGGTACTCCTAATTGAGACGTCGTCCAATGCAAGGAAGGAAACAAAAGGTACTCGTATTTGAGACGTCGTCCAATGCCTTCTTCGTGGATTGAACACGAGACCTTTAGATCTTCAGTCTAACGCTCTCCCAACTGAGCTAAGAAGGCTTCCATACATAGCTTGCGTTAGTTTTTTGTAATTAATCTATTGAGAGCACTATTGTTTCGTCAGTGAGCCGAGTCATTGGTGTGATGTTTTGAGTCACTCCTTCCTCCGACTCTCCGTTCCCTATGGTTGAACAAGCTATGTTTTCCTAATGACAACGACTGGCAGCTACCGGACCATGAATGCTGCCTCAGATTGCAATAATGGTAAACCCGCAATTGGACCGCTTGGAAGGTTTCTTGTTTGAGCGTGAATGAAAAGAAAAAAAATGTGAGCCGTCTGCCGTCGTGCGCAGACCCCTTGATTTTTGCCTCTCGGAATCTAAAAAGGCACCGCACAATTAGGGTATCGAAGGCTCTTTGCATTTTAGGATCAGGGAGAAGATAGAAGCGAGTGAGCCTGACGATCAGCCATAATTGACGAGAGCAAACATCGCTCATGCAGTTTAATTGCCGGCTATCTGGATTCTTTTGATGTTCGAGGCATGGTTTGGTTGCCGTGGCAAATCACACCTGGTTTCTTGTTGTCGGACGGTTCTTGACACTCCTCAGTCGATATCCTTCTTGTTGCGTGCAGCACATCACTTTCTCCGACGTCATTCGATTTTGCCCGATGGGAGACGGCCAAGCTAAATAGAGTAAGAGGGGCGAGCAAAGAATCTTTCAGGTGCAGCCCGATAATTGGGGTCTCGTTCGGTTCGGCGTTGGTCCTGACCGATGTCTCCCCCACCGCTCTTCTTCACTCGCCTTATCCTGCGCAACTTCCGTACCTGCATAACACCCATTAGTCTTCCGAAAATTAGGAAAAGCGAGAGCCTTGTGATGGACCCACCCACGAACAAATCAAGTATGGTTGTTAAAAAAACATAGTCAAATACACGTACGATACAAATCATCAGCACCCGGAGGGAGGGGCGAGGTATATAAGAAAAGAAGCAAAGCACAGCACCCCCACCTGCACCGGCAGCATCACGCATATCCCAGCAACCTCCTCGTCTCCTTTGTCATGCTATCCAACACCGGCTTCTCCCACAGATCGATCGCAGTGGACGCGACGGCATCGACGTCCACGAAGCGGCCGATATTGGCGATTACAGAGAGGAAATCAGCGGCGGTGCGTGCGCCTTCGAGCTTACGGCGCGAGGCGAGGAGGAGACTGAGGCCGAGGTAGGTGAGGATTAAAGGTGCGCCGCCAATTAGGATATCCCAGATACTAGAAGGGGGGAGGGGGGTTAGATGAGGCGATGGTCTGGGTGATGATTGGAGCGGGTGGTAGTGGATATGGGCATTACCCTTCGAGAGAGTGGGACGGGAGGACGTTGGCGAAGCAGGTGCGGAACCAGCTACCGCAGGCGACGTCGAGGTCTACGCGCAGTGTTTGCACGTGTGCGGCGAGGGTTGGGCTGTGTGCTTTCAGGAGGGTTTTGAGGGAGGCGGTTTCGATGTGGATTCGAATCTAAGAGCGAGAGAACGTGGGAGAGGTTCAGCTCGCTTGTAGTCGCAACGCCATCCCTTCAAAAGAGCCTATTCTGACGTCACGAAACTCAACCCCAACCGAACCTATCCCACCCGGGATGCGCCCACCCGACTCGACCGTAATCCAGGCCCACCTGTTCCCTCCCCCGCGAAACAACTTCAACTCCGGGATTGTAAGTCCGCACGAAGAACTCAAAAATCCAATAGGCGTCGACCTCGCTCGTATCGCAGATTTCGAGCAGTACCTGCGCGACAGGAAGCATGTTTTCGAGTGCTTCGGACATGTGCGCCTGTGGTGACAAGTCAAGGGGATGATTATTTTAATGGATCCAAGGCGCGTTCACATTGTGCGAAGGTGGACCTCGATTCGACGTACCGGATCGGCCCATCCGGCGTCGAGGTGGATCGCAAGCATTTGGCACATGGTATTGGCTGTTAGGTCTGCGGTGGAAGGGCTGCAAGGAGGATAGAAAAGCGAGAGTGTGAGCAATGGGTTATGATTTTGCGGTGAAAAAAATGTACCGCTTCTGTGATAGAGCCGGCCTCACCCCCGCGTCCGGTGCACAACTAGCGCGGCGGCTTTGAGGGCTTCAAACTGCGCGACTCGCTGCTCATCCACGAAGGTCCATGTTTCTTTTTCGAGCGGTACTACGCCTGAGGGTGAGGGATGGCGGACTCAGTCGGGGGTTCTCGGTTTCTCGATATAGGCTAGCAAGTGTTTTCGTCTGCTCACGCACGTACCCAGCAGAAGCTTCCACACAATCTGACGATAGAAATGTGGGATGCGCACCCATAGGCAGAGCTTGTTGAGGCGTTCGAGGTCTGTGGGAGGAGGGGGGGTGAGGACGCCACGGGACAGGTCGCAAGAGGTTGGCAAAACCAACACGTGACGACTTTGTACGCACCCAGCACGTCGCCTTGGAGGGCGTTCTCGAGAGACGGCTTGACCTCTACAACCTGTACGCCGAGAGAGGAGTAGTAAGCCTTGCGGAAGTTTTTTGTCATTAGCAGCGCGGCAGTGGTGGCGGTGAGGGTGTCTGGATAGAGGGGAACGGGCGGAAAATGGGGAGAGGTTGGAGCATTCGTAGAGGAGGGCTTGCGGGCTTGCGGGCTTGCGGGCGGGTGATTAGAAGGGGAGCAAGGTCCAGTTGAGACAACGCATGTCGTGTTGAAGGATGACGACGATTGTCCGGGATCTTGGGTTGACGCGGGTCTCAATCATCGAGCACTCCCCGGGCCTTCACTTTCACGTCGGACGCGTTCGGTGTTCGTTTGTCCATCTTCGACCGACAAGCCCGACATTGCAACAACCTCCTGACGCCCTGTCCCCGCTCGCCTCGAACTCACCTCCACCTCCCTGCGTCCTCAACAATCCTGCCCCTCCGTTCGCTCGGCTGCGTCGACCCCTGAATGTTCGCCCAGGCCGGAAAGGTGCGTGTTGGACAAAGCGTGACAAACCAACCAAAAAAAGAAGGAAGTCGCATATCGGAGGGCGAGGAAGAATCTCCAGTCGAGAGCTCGGATAAGGCGTACTCACTCCAACCTATTCCCTACAACATAACAGGGCAGCCGTTCGCGAACGGGACCGCACCCTCCTCACACTTTTCAGGATGAAAACCTGCCTTCTTCGCGACCTGGCACCAAAGCCCATTTGGTGGCGAAGCCCTCGTCCTTGCAGGCGAGAAGGGCGGGCGCCCTCGCAGTCGTGAAGGAAAACCTCCCGTCGCGGGGCAATGCCACAGAAGTCGCGAACGGGAAACGGTTGGCAGCGTCAGATCTAAAGGTACGTGCAACACAGAAAAACCGACGTTGGCGGGCACAGTGCGCTTCCATTGGGCTCACTATTTTTCTTTTCGTTTCTTTGCACGCACTCGAAAGATGGAACCCGCATCGAAGCGCCTGCGGTCCGAACCTTTGAAGCCGATGGCACCGGCTCCGCCGCGCAATATCGTCGCAGACGCGAAGCGCGTTGTGAAGGAGAGGGAGCGGGCGGCGGCTAAGATGGCCAATCGCCCGTCGGCGCGCATTGCGGCGGCACGACCCGTTGCTGCCGTCCCGGTCCCCCAGCCCGCGCCGGTGAAAACCGCGACCGCGACGCGGCCTTCGCTTTCATCTAGACCGTCGCTCCCCTCGACGCGGAATTCGCTGCCGACGCTTTCCGCGAAGAAGCCCGCCGTTGCAGCTCCTTCCTCGACGAAGCGGACTTCGCTTCCGTCGCTGCAGCCGTCGGTTTCCGCGACGAAGCCCGCCGTCGCAGCCCGGGCCTCGCGCGTCCCACCCACCCGCGTAGGCCCTAGCACCCACTTGGCAGAAATGGAAATCGACCGCCCGGCCCCGCACGCCTCGGCCCCCTCCGCGTTGTCCCGCCGCCCGCTCTCCACGCGTAAG